ACTTTCGGTGCTGGGTGGAAAGGATGAAATTACCTAGGTATTATTCGGATAGGAATCTGAACATAGCCCTGAAAACGCTATATTTTAAAATTTAATATAAAAATCACCCGTCTGCATCATCATGGCGAACATTCTCCAGACTCTGCCTTGAGGGTCTCTACGAGGAACAGCTATGACTACATTCATACGGCACGCTTAATCGGGTTTAACAACATCTATAGTTATTGAAATTGACCAATCATAGCTGTTCCTCGGAAGAATGAAACGACTGTGATTGGCCAGTTTCGTAACTACGGGTGTTATTAAACTAGAGCACTATAATATAGGTATTCGCATCCGCCATTTTTAGTCTCTTCCCCACTCTTTGTTCTCTTTTCAATCTTCTTAATTTTAACGGCCAAATGGAGAGAGAAAGCAAGGGATTGAGGAAAGGAGCAAGAGAGTGAGAAAAGGACTAAAAATGGCGGATGCGAATACTCATATTATATAATAGTGTCTTAATTAAACCCGGATTAAGGATGCCGTGTAAATGTAGTCTATGATTGGCCAATTTTATAACTATGGATATTATTAAATCCGATTAAGCGTGCCGCGTAACAGAGGTCATTGAATCTAAAGTAATCTGAGTATTTTATATTCAAATAATGACGTTGCTACTTGCATATTTTGATTGATGAAAAGTTATCGCATAATAACACACAATTCATAAAATTACTTTTAATACGACGTAACAAGACTTATAGCATTTTCAGCTCGACCGGGTTTGCATCAATCTGGATTGGAAAATGCCTTGCTATTTACGTTTATTAACATTACACATTATCTACCAATAAGAGAGCACGAAACATCATTAATTCAATTCAGGTTGGTGCAAACTCGATTGAGCCGAAAACGCCATTAATAAAATGGCGTTTTTAGCCGAGACACACGATCTTGAGCTTGTACAGACTGTAAGCAAAAATTCAGTTGAATCTAATAGCGTTTTCGATTCGAAAAAAGTTAGTGCCGACTTAAGTTAGTTCACACCAACACTGGACGAGTTCCATGGGTTGCACTGAATAGTTCAAAAGAACCAAGATTTTTAGTGCTAAAGCTGAAGTGCCATTTCGAGTTGTAAAATTGTAAGGACTTGACTAGACTGCAGGAAAAACGCAGAAAAATAATTTCGACATCTCATGTTCATAACTTTAAGTAATGATATTTTACTATATGTAATTAAATAATATATAAGATATCAAGAATATCATATATACACCATATGTACATACTTATCAATAATTGTACACATTTGCATATGTTGCGTTTTCAGTTCAACCGCGCAGATTTACTTGTCCTTATTGTATATCCTTATACTGTGACAAAACGATGCACTGATATCCTATATATGTATCCAGTGCACTGAACTGACACCGTTAAAATATCTCGTGCCACTTAGTGCGCACTACGCAAGTGTCGTGCGGTCAAATGAACACATGACACTAGTCAAGTGCGCATTGGCACTGCCAATCGAACACGCTCTTGACATTGAGTGTAGCCAATGAATCCCAATCGAAAACGTTATTACTTGTCATAATAAAAAAAGAACGTGCATTCAACTTCGTTATGACATCACAAATAAGAATTATCTGAGTTTCGATGTAAATAGAAAGCAACTAAATTTATTCACCATAGAATTTATACAAGAGTTTGTTTATGCAATTAACCCTGTTTATTATAAAATTTTTTTTACAAATTTTGTATTATTCAGTTACAATTTAAAAAAGGTATATACAAATGAAAATAATATCACTCTCCATGATACGCTATTATCAGGTTAACATTCCGAACAAGCTCATGACACATACAAAAATGTAAGGCCGTAAGACATAAGGCCTGTTCTTTTTAACTGAACTTTTGCACCAGTTCATCTTTCTCGTTCTTCTTTCCTCCTCTGGAGAGAAAAGGAAAAAAGATGAATTGGTGCAAAAATTCAGCTAAAAAGAACAGGTGTATTATCACTAAGCGAATTAGCCAATCACGGTAAAGACCGTAAGGTCAGTAGCGAATCCAATGTTACGATTTCCTTACTGCTTATGTGTTACTGCCTTACGTTTTTGTATGTGCTTCAATCACAATGCATGGCACCGACGAGATACTATTAAAGACCAATATCCTTACGGGGGTTCGCGTCCTTGTTAATATTGAAGCGATTAAGAGTAAAAAAACTGATAATATTGTACTAGTTTTATGATTTATTAGTTTAGTAGACGTGTTTATCGATGCATATGCATAAAAACTCAATAATACTCGATTTTTGTTTAAATTATGATTTCAGTGTTATTGTCAAAGTTTAATTATCAACAGAGATGATAACTGCAGAGAAAAAAATTGTAATTTTCGGCAATATATAGGATATTATAGTTTTACAAGTATGTATATTTATTTATGGAGCATTTATGTATTTAGGTGTACAACTTTGCTTCCGCCGTTTTTTTTCCGAAATTCGAGGCTTTATTGTAAAAAACTGGTTATACATTTATGATTCAAAGTATTGTCCATCGCTGGCCACTACTTTCTCTCATCTTTCGGGCAGCGTACGAATCCCGTGTTGAAAAAACTGGTCATCTTTTGAGGCGATCCACGAATCGATCCAATTTTTTACTTCTTCGTAAGACCGGAAATGCTGGTCAGCCAGGCCGTGTGCCATTGATCGAAACAAGTGATAGTTAGAGGGAGCAACGTCTGGAGAATACGGCGGGTGAGGTAGGACTTCCCATTTCAACGTTTCCAAGTATGTCTTGACCACTTTCGCAACATGGGGTCGAGCACTGTCATGCTGCAAAACCACTTTATCGTGTCTCTCGTTGTATTCAGGCCGTTTATCTTTCAATGCTCGGCTCAAACGCATCAATTGCGTTCGATACCGATCGCCTGTGATTGTTTCAGTCGATTTTAACAGCTCGTAATACACTACGCCGAGCTGGTCCCACCAAATACAGAGCATGAGACTTGGAGTCGTGAATATTCGGTTTGGCCGTCGACATGGAAGCATGGCCAGCGGGAACTCCCCATGATTTTCTGCGCTTGGGGTTATCGTAATAAACCCATTTTTCGTCCCCAGTCACAATGCGATGCAGAAATCCCTTCCGTCTTTGCCTTTCACAAGCAAACAAACGCCGTTCAACATCTCTCGGCTTCAACTCGTACGGCACCCAATTTCCTTGCTTCTGAATCATTCCCATGGCTTTGAGGCGTTTTGAAATGGCTTATTGAGTCACTCCCAATGATCGTGCCAATTCTTCTTGATTTTGACACGAGTCAAGTAATGCCTCCAATTCTGCATCTTCGAAAACCTTCTCTCTTCCACCGCTATGCCGGTCTTCGACGTCAAAATCACCGTTCTTGAAGCGTTGAAACCACTCACGACACGTTCTTTCACTAATAGCGGCCTCACCATAAGTATTTAAGCGCATTCGATGAGCTTCAGCCGCAGATTTCTTCATATTGAAGCAGAAAATTAAAATTTCCCGCAAAAGACGAGAATTTGACTCGTAAACTGACATTTTCAATCGAGAATAACTTTATGATGCAGACACAAATCGACTAATGTTTCTATGGGGTTATGTTGACAGATGCCCAAGTTTATTGTATGACGTCTATGATCTATTTATTTCACCCACCACTTACCGCTAAAGCCATCTATAGGAAAACGGCGGAAACAAAGTTGTACACCTAATAATAAAAAATCATAAATTTAATAATGTATTAGCCAAATATTTATCACTAATAAGATTTTTTTATTCGAACCGACAAGAATTAAACACTAAGTATAAGCGTATTCAGGTCAAAGCTAGATCTTTTTTGCCAAAATAATTCCTAGTGAATTATCTATATCCTATATATGTACATGCATATATATCATATTTTTGTAGTTATTCAAACTGCGTGCCGAAATTTTTCCGGACTTTATCTAACGAAATTAAACTACTGCAATAATATCACAAGTTAAATTAAATTGACAATGTGCTGAAAAAATTAAATAAACTTATTGCGAAAAATATTACCTCGGCCGGGACTTGAACCCGGATCTCTTTGTAAAGAGATCTCTTTGTAAAGAGATCCGGGTTCAAGTCCCGGCCGAGGTAATATTTTTCGCAATAAGTTTATTTAATTTTTTCAGCACATTGTCAATTTAATTTAACTTGTGATATTATTGCAGTAGTTTAATTAAGTGCCAAATATTTATGTTAATATTGGCAAATTTATATCTTCTATTATTAACAATTTTTTTTATTATTAGCAATTGTCGATAAAGTCAGCATTTTTCAGTTACCTCCGGGCCCTTGGGGCCCTTTTTATACCGCCGAAAATTTACCCAGGGTTGACGGTCTTTAATAGCTTCTCGTCGATGTGCATGGTCTCGCTTCTCTCACATCCACTTCCACAACAACTGTCAGAACCAATCACGGAATAGTCGGCATTGACCGATCTCTACATAGAGGATCTCTAAAAGCGGTATTCATAGTCGATTCTAATTTCAAGACCGTCTTAAGTACAGTCTTAAGATGTCATGCACCTACCAGAGAGCCGTATTAGCATCTTGAGATATTACTTAAAACGATCTTGAGATAAGAACGGGTTATGAATACCGCCTTAGCTAGGTGTATATCAATTTCACACGAGCCAATTGCGCACAAGCCAATCACAGCACCAGAATCAAAAGATAAATAAAAACTCCTTATGCAAAAGTCGCTGTGATTGGCAGTGGGCAATTGCAACTCGTCGAGCAACAGTGTGTAAATGAACAACTTCCTCTCTAGGTGTGATTGTACATGTCAAGTATTTTACACTGGAAACAACTCTACAATTATCTTTGTTTGGTGGCACACATTTAATGATGTTCATTTTATTCTTAAACATTATTTATTGATCTAGAATATTTCAGAGAATTGTACTGTTTGAGAATAATTAAATATATTTAACATAAAAAGAATTAAGTGAAATATTTTATCATTACTTACGTTGTTTTCCGAAGCATTCATAGCCGATACAACCGGGCATGAGAAAACAGACGAATAGGAGCAACGCGATCAGGATGAGTCCTACTCCTACCACAATTACAATTAACAGGCCCCACGGGCCTAAGAAATCTTCGTGTAACATTCAATGAAAATCACTGAAATTCGAATTCAAAGTTACTTACATCGATTATAGAAAAGTTACTTTTTAAAAGTAACTACTCTTATGCGGGGTCTACAATAGAAGTCGTAGCAGTCGTAGGATCTTAAGTCGTACAAAATTCCAATCATAGTCGATTATTCTTCTCATATTCTATTGTGATTGGTTAATTTTCTACGACTTAAAACTCTACGACTGCTACGACTTCTATTGTAGACCCCGCTTTACGGAAAAAAAACTGCTGGTGCATAATAGTGCACAGTAGTGACAACTACTGACATTCAATAGTGTAACTACTGAAACACAGTAGTATCACTGCTGGTATGAGTAGTATTCGTAACTAGTAGTAGTGTAGAAGTCTTAGGTTGGCGTCCCATGAAGTGGAAATTTACTGCGGATCGAACGGAACAGCGCGACCAATCACAACTCTGCAGTCGTTACTCTGCTTTCTTTTCTGCGATTGTGATTGGTCTCGCTGTGTTCCGTTCCGCTGTAAATTTCCGCTCCATGGGACTTTAGCCTTATGCCTTTATTGACAATTACGACTGACGGTTGTCCGATTACTTCAACCAATCACGATGTAGCGAGTCCATCGTAATTGGCTGAAATAGAACCAAGCAATCATAATCGTCGATCGGTAGTCTGATACGGAGACATTAGAAGAATATCAGACTACAGGAGCACACCATGTAATCTTTCCACCATGGATTGACATGGTGTACTTAGAGTCCTAGATTTATAAGAGAAGCGCGACTGGTGTTAAGTGTTCTGATTAGAGAGCCTCACAGGGAGAGAGTGGCAAATTGCATAACGTCCTTGTTGAAAATTCTTGTAAGTTTTTTGTACCAGATCTTAAAAGAATTGTATGTGATCAATTAAGATTATTAAATAAACGTACATGATCATATAAGAATCTTATGTGAATCTTACCAGTAATCTTTAACCTGACCTTAATAATTCTGGAATGAATCGTACACGACGATTTTTATTGCAATGAAAAAATCTTATAAGGCCTTATAAGAAACTTTCAAAAAATAATTTCTTTACAGGCTCATCTAAGAATATGGTATTAATTATGATTCTGAAGTGTTTCATGAAAAATCATTTATCAGTCTTAATAAAAACATAATTACGGAATAATATATTTTCCATGTTGATACAAGAAACTGGCATGAATCATACACGACGATTTATATAGCAATGAAAAGATCTTGCCTTAACCTTATAAGAAACTCTTAAAAAATAATTTTTTTACAAAATCATCCAAGAATATGGTATTAATTATGGATTGTATGATTCCTAAAGTTGGCAGGAAGTGGTGGATAGGATACTGGGAGAAAAGAGGGAAGGAAAACAATGGATGAGAAAGGTGGAGGAGGAAAGGAACAGAAATGGGAAAGGAGGAAGGGAGAGGGCGAGAGGGGAGAGAGAAGGGGAGAGCGAGGAAGAGGAGAGTGAGATATGAGTGATGAGAGAAGAGTAAATGATTGAAAAAATGGAGTTGAAAAATGAGTGGTGAATGAGGGAAACGGAAGTCCTTGGCGTAGGATGTAAGGTGGCTGTAAGTTAATTTTAAGTTTAAGTTAGTAGTAAGATAAACGAAGAAAGTAGGAATAAAAGAAAGCGAAGGCGATGGTAATGCGTGCGAGGCGATGTGCGATGCAAGAGTTAGAATAAGTGAAAAATATATACGAATGGAAACGGATGTCCTTTGTAACCCCATAGGGGATCAAATAAAGATATCTATCTATTTATCTATCTGTGTATGATTCTTAAGAGTTACATGAAAGATCATGTATCAGTCTTAAAAAAACATATATTGAATGCAAAAATTCGTGCCCGATTTATTATTCAAAGTTCAAACAGCTGCAATTTTGTTAAAAATAAATGAAATTTAAATTTAAAAAAAGAGTTTTAAAGCTTGAAATCTCAACTTTCGAATGGTTATTATATATTTTTAATTTATATGAGTTTTGTAATTTTTACATATAGAAAACTACGAGTTAAACAAAATGGGAAATTTTTTCTTCACTTTGTGGACCTGTCACATACTTGAAAAAAATTTGCAAAAATTTTTAAATTTTTAATGTAAAAGCTTAAAGTTTTATCTATAAAATCGTTTATAAAAAATATCCCTACGATTGTTTGTTACTGAGTTGTTGCGAATTAAATAAAAAGAATATGAAAATAAAAAGAATTTATTCTGAGGCCGGTATTCATAGTCGGGTCTTATATTTAAGACCGTCTTAAGTACAGTCTTAAGATGTCACGAACCAATCAGAAGGCCGCATTAGCGACTTAAGACATTACTTAAGACGGTCTTAAAATAAGAACCGACTATGAATACCGGCCTGATTGCTCATAACCACGGGAGTGAAACTAATATCATGGTTTCCGGTAACACCGAAAAAATAGGGGCACTCGAAAGTGGGGATTGAAGTGACCAATTAGAAAATAGCACGTGACACTATGTCATTTCCACCATTTTCGCAAATAGAATAGTAACGTACGAATCGTACGAATGCGTATGTACTGCATAATACGTATAAGTACGTACAAGTTTCAAACATCAAGCAGTTAGCCTACAAAAGGTAAGTACAATAAACTGATTTAATTTATTATAATTGTTAATATTACTATCAATTTGTTATCTTTTAAGTCTTTATGAAAACGTAACCTCATCCCAGTGAACTTGCACTTTTTATTCTTTGAAATCGTCGAGATGAAACAAATTAATAGTTCTTTATACAGAATTTACAGAAAGAGAAGCTATATTAATGCTAATTTTATTTCAGCCTATTTCGTTAATCCACAAATCGTATGGCTTATTGGACATTTCGTGCCAAGCCCTGCTTTAAATGCATGGTACATAGCCATAGACTTGCTGTCGTAATATTTATGATTAGACACTACTAAATTTTTACATTTTTTAAATTTTAATCGCTAGCTAGTCGTCTAAACGTGCTAGAATGTTCATCAAGAACTGTGAAGCTTATAGAGCGTCTTCATAAAGCTGCAACTTACAGCGCTACTGTATTATGAGATGAAGTGAGATAATACGATTTTTCTTTCTCGCACAATTTCAATGAAAAATGGCAGCCACTTCAGATGGTCAGACTTTGATTAGAGGGTCTCTAGTGTAGAAGTGTCACTAGGTTTGTTTTCTGTTCTTGCACGAGGATTGTATTAGAACAAAGACACTAGATACGTATTCTCATCCGCCATTTTGGTTCCACTTGATTGATAGGTTATAGTACGATTAGTGACAAAGGTAAATGTAAAAAAGAGCCCGCACACTTCAAATTTTGATAAAAATATATTTAATCGATTTTCGTGTGAAACTGAAAATGTGACAAGAAAATCGTGTCGCTCTGCTTCTATAGTGTTGGGTTGGGCAGAACGGTGCGAGACAAAATATCGGGGCAACTTACCCTTTTCTGCGCGCGCATCTTGACATTTATATTACTGAGAGAGGTAAAGGTTTACAATACCTCGGTCACCTCAAATTTTAATAAAAATAGAATCAATCGATGCGTTTTCGCATAAAAATGAAGATTCTACAAGAAAAAAGTGTTACTCTACCCCACGAACAGAGATATTAAGCGTTAAAATTAACGAGCATTGAAGTTAGGAAATCTGACAGCCACGAAATATTGCGATGCAAGCATGCGCTGCGGTCTCAAATCCGCTATTTTAAAACAAGTTCTTTGCTCTAAAATACAAATTCACGACTTTAAAACAAATTTTCTACTCTAAAACACAAATTTACTACTTTAAAACAGATTCTCTGTTCTAAAACATAAATTCACTACTTTAAAACAAACTCTCTGCTCTAGAACACAAATTCACTATTTTAAAAAACCACTTATATCAATAAACTGCTGACTTAATGTGATAGAAAAAGATAGACCTGATTCCGAGATTTCCGAACTGTCCTTGTTTAATTTCTATATGCGTATATATGTGTCCTATCTGTGAGTACGTGTGAATTTAGCCATGTAATTTATACATGTGTGAGTGAAAAAACTCAAATATGGCGCTGCCCACCGCTACCTTCAAACATGGAGGCAAAGTTGGCAGTCTATTTATAAGTCTGTGTTTAAAACAAATTCTCTGCTCTAAAACACAAATTCACTACTTCGAAAACAAATTTACTGCTTCCAAAACACAAAAATAATATAAGAAAGTAATTTGTGTTTTTAAAGCAGTAAATTCGTCTTTTTAAACCAATGAATTTATTTATAAAGTAGTAAATTTGTTTTTAAAGTAATGAATTTGTTTTTAAAGCAGAGAATTTATTTTTAAATCGTGAATTTGTGTTTTAGAGCAGAGAACTTGTTTTAAATTAATGAATTTGTGACCACAACGCATACTTGTATTGCAGTATTTCGCGGTTGTGACAGATTTCCTAACCTCAATAATAGTCAAATTTAACGCTTAATGTCTCGATTCACGGGGCATAGCAACGCTTATTTCTGCCAGATTCTTTCATTTCATGCAAAAACGCGTCAAATAAGCTTAATTTTATTGATTTTTGAGCTGCTTATGTTAAACTGTATAATTACCTTCATAATATACCTCTTATACCATCAATGTCATCCTCTACAAATTATGGAACTTTAATGTACTATATCTCCTAAACCAGTGGCGTAGCGAGAAAAATGTTTCGGGGGGGGGGGGGGGGGGGGGAAAAAAAAAAGGGAGGCTGTAGAAATCAGTTTTTAAAATGTTCTTTTTTATATTAGTGACATATTTGGTAAGCATAAACAAAAAAAGTTTCGTTTAAAGCAAAATAAATTCAATAGCAAAAAAGTTTGATATTTTACATGTCGTTGTAATGTCGCGTTTCGCTGACGCTGCATATAAATTGTCGTAATTTTTTTACTATTACATTTAAAGATCTAAAACTGTCCGGAAAACTTCTTCAAATATTCAACTACAATGTAGCATTAATAAAAAATTTTAATTCGAAAATTCGTAACACAATTTTAATGTTTG